CAAGGTATCATCACCTGCAGATGAGAGGACTGTCTACTAATAAGATCGAAAAATATTGTACCAAAAGACTCCCAGAATAACCAAATACAACAACATAGCAAGACACAAAATAAACACTCAAAAATCAGTAGCATTTCTATACACTGATAATGAACTCAGAAGAACACAAGGAAAACAGCCTTCATAAGAGCAAGAAGAAAAAGTAAATACTTTGGAATTAACCTAACCAAGGAAGTGAAAGACCTCTACAGTGACAATCACATTACTCTGGGAAAGGAAATTGAGGAGGACATCAGAAAATGGAAGGATGTGTTATTTCTGGATAGGCAGAATCAATATAATCAAAATCACTGTATTTCCAAAACTGATACATAGATTTGATGCAACTCCAATAAAAATATCAAAGCATTTCTCACAGGTGATCTAGAGAAAACAATCCTAAAATCTGTATGAACCCAGAATGCCAAAAGCTCTTGTGGGCAGCACACGCGGGCGCATGGGCACCACAATCTCGGGTCGAGGCTATACCACGAAGTCTTTCTCACTAGAGCAGCATCACACTGGCACGAAACAGACGCGAGGATCAGCGGGGCAGAACAGGGAAGGCAAAAACATGCCCAGCCACCTCCAGCTATTTGATCTTTGACCAAAGGACCAAACAAACTGTAAGAAAGATCACCTCTGTAATATGTGGGGCTAGGAAACCTGATATCCACATGCAGAAGGCTGAGTCTAGACCCACAAATCTCTCACACCATACACTAAACTAAACTAAAGAGCTAAATGTTAAAACAGATACACTTAAATTGCTGGAAGATAAAAGAGGTGAAGGTCTTGAAAACCTAAGTGTGGGCAAGGACTTCCTAAACAGATCCCCAGTGCCCCGAGAAGTAACACTGGAAATCAACAGGTGGGAGCATCTCAAATTAAAAAGCTGATCCACTTCAGAGGAAATGACCAAGAGAGTGAAGGGACGGCCTACAGAATGGGTAAAACGTTTGTCAGCTACTTCTCTGACACAGATTAACATCTAGAATACATGAAGAACTCAAAAAAATTAAACCCCCAGTAATAAGAGGCCCAATCAAGAAGTGGGCGACTGAAATGAACAGACACTACTGAGAAGCACACACGGCCAATAAACACATGAGAAAATGCTGAACACTGCTGCCCGTCCAAGAAGTGCAAATTAGAACCACACTGAGATGCCATTGAGCTCCAGAAAGAATGGCTGCATCAAGAAATCAAAAGTAACAAGTGCAGGGAAACGACAAAATAGCACAGCCCGTGTGAAAGTGAGTATGGAGATGCCTTGAAAAGCTAAGACTAGCGATCCTATTAGACCAGCCATTTCCCTTTCTAGGCATCTGCCAGAAGAAATGATGTCACCACGCATAGCCACAATTACAGCAGCACAATTTATACCAGCTAGACCCTGAAAATGGCACGTCCATCAACAGACGGAGAGCATGGCTTTGGCACACAGTAGAGCACCACCCTCTCATGAAGAAGAACCTGAGGCACTAGTAGCTAAACAGAAGCAGTTTAAGAACGTAATGTTAAATGAAGAGATCAAGGAAAAGTATAGACATAAAAACTCAGGCAAAATGAAAAGACTACTAAAAACTATGTACACGTTTAGCTTGATTAAAAGTAAGCAGAATGTAAAAGTTGTAAAATTTTGAAAAATGTTGTAAGCTTTCCAACTGACAGAATAGATCTGAGTATGGTGGTGCACACCTGCCTCCCAGGTCTGAAAGTCCCTGGCCTTGTGTTGGCTCCTCTCCCTGCTGGAGTGCAGCCTGAATTCTGTATCTCGCTTACTATAAACGAAGTGCATCCATGGGCTGATCTGCCACTGGGCGGCCCTCGGAGCCTCAGAGCCTCGCAGCCCCAGGTGCACAGCAGTAGGTATTTGCGGTAAATGTGTCTATGGATCAGTACTTGTGGAGCCAGGGAGCAGTCAACAGGACCAGGAGGCAACCCACAGAAAGGGATAAACCGTCTGCAAACGCTCCACCTGACAATGGTGCTGAGCCGCGGGCAGGAGCACAAACTCTACAGCAAAAACACACCCCAATTTTTAAAGAGACTAATATTTGTAGTCAACATTTCTCAAAAGAAAACCTACACATGGTAAACAGATACATGAACTATACTCAGAATAATAAATCCACAGGAAAAAGTAAAGACCTCGGAGACCACCACATGTCATAACAGCTCTCACCAAATGATAAACAAGCTGATGGCCAGGTGTGGAGGAGTCCTGGCTCATGCCATACCGCCATCAGTCAGGAGGGCACCACCGAAAATACTGTTGAGCTCCCTCAGCAAAGCTAAAAGAGGGGTCGGGGAGATGGCTCAGCAGAAGAAGCACTTGCCCAGTAAGCGCAAGGGTCTGAGCTCAATCCCCGGTTCTGCCAAAAAAAAGAAAAGCTAAAATCCTTGTTTTGGGGCCAGGGAGACAGCTCAGTAGAATAAGCACTTGCCTAGCAAGTGCAAAGGCCTGAGTTCAATCCCCAGTTCCGCAAAAAAAAAAAAAAAAGAGAGAGAGAGAGACAGAACCTTAACATTTTAGATTGTTAGAGAACTTCTAAACCATTTATTGTTGCAATTGAATCTTTAAGTGTTTCCCTCTTATATGGTAGCAATTTGTGCATCCTTTCTGATAGAATATTCTTAAACTTAAAAACTGGTTACTGGGTTTCTGGATATTTGTAATGTTCCAGGTGAAAACCAGGCTGGGTATGGTGGTGCACACCTGAAATTCAACACTCAGGAGACCGACGCAGAAGGACTATGGTAAGCTGGAGGCCAGCCTACACTATATAGTAAGACTCTCAAAACACAACCACAAAAAAACAAGAGAAAGAAAGAAAGAAAGAAAGAAAGAAAGAGAGAGAGAGAGAGAGAGAGAGAGAGAGAGAGAGAGAGAGAGAGAGAGAGAGAGAGAAAATTGGGATTGCTCTTCTTATTATGAGAAATTGTTTATATTTAAAACCTACCACTGAAACATGTTCTTGTTTTTTAAAGAATTTGAAAAAATACCTATGCTGGTAAGAAACACAATGAAATAAAAGTCAGCTAAAACATCCAGAAATAATACCTAACTGAAATATGCATGTCAAAAACCAAACACACGATTACTGCATTCCTACTCCAGTACTCAGGACAGAGTGTCAGCCTATGCAGCCATTTTTGTAGGAATGATAAAAGAAAACATGGTAAACACACACTGTTCAGCTAAAAAGCATGACATTCTGTTATTTGGGACAGTCTGCACGGAACTGAAAAACATTATGCTACGCGACATTAGTCGAGCCCAGAAAGGTACACGCTGAAGGGCTCTGTCCTAAGTGAAATCTAACCACGCTGGCCACAGAGGCTGGCAGTGGAGCTGGCACCACAGACTGAGGAGAGGCATGGGGCAGGGCGGAGACGGCCGATGAAACTGTCTGACAGGAAAAAGCTTCCGGTGTCCTGTGGCACAGCAGGGCACACACAACTAACAGAGTTACACTCCGTATCTTGAAACAATACGAAGAGAGAAGTTTGGCTGTGCTCACTATAAGAAACAGTGACGGACCCAAGGTACAGGTACACTAATCACTCTGAGTCTATCACTATCTCATGCACATGGGAATCAAAATATCACACTGTACCTCACAAATGTGTACAAAAGTCATGTATCAATTACAAAACAAAACAAAATGAAAAACTGTCTAAAATTCAGTGGCTTCAAATACTGCTTTTGCTAACAAGATGCCCATTAAATGTTTGTTCAACAAGCCAATGATATAAATTATCCACATACTACTTCTTAAACTTAATTCTAATTATATTTAATATAATATCAGTTTTTTACATGTTCAACAAATGAATCAGAAAATACACAGTTTAAAATTCATATACTGATTTTTGACACATCTAAAGTGTCTATTAAAAGACTAAAGCATATGTAACAAAACAGGTTTTAGGCTCGGACATCATGTCTATTTGCAGGTCCTCTAGCTCAAGTACCGTTTTTTAGTGCTAACAATTGCTTAAGAGGTCTGTATTTTACTATTTATAAATAACTGTCTATAACGTTTCAATTGAAAATTAGAGTTGCTCTTCTAGTTATGAGCAATTGTGTACATTTAAAACTAACTTCAGACACAATGTTCCATTTTTAAAAGTACTTTACAAAGCATTCAAACTAATTGTAAGAAAGAAAATAAAATGAGGCTCATTTAAAAAGAAAAATAAAACAATTATTTTCAATATAAGAAGAACCACAAGCCCTTTGAAATCGAATAGTTATAATAAGTACTTGAAAAAACAGAAATATAAAATTTTATCCTAACAAATGAAAATGGGTATATTATATAAAGGAAACCTTTATATTTAATTACAACAATTAATAATTTAGTAGCATTCTATTAATCTAAATTATAAAGGTTGTGTCCATTTTAATTACAAACAATGAAAGAAATTCAGTCAATTAAAAACTCCAGATAAAATTACCAGACTAACGCTACCCTAGTCTACTTCCTCACTTGGACAGTTCCACACTGCAAATGACAACAGCAAGTTCCAGCACTCCCTAAGCTCTGGTCTGAGGTGAGGCTACACCCTAAGTTCTACAAGTAGCTTGCAAGACACCAGCACATTGGTACTCAGTCTAGTAGGCTGGTTTTCAAACGGCTGTGAACTCAGCCCACAGTGAGAAATATCTTTTACTTGGCAACCCTTTATATACACCCTGAAAAAAACTGAAACACACATTTACAGTTCCTACATGCTACTCGAAATAACATCTGATACTCTATTTTTTCAAATTTGGGTTACATATATACACACATATATATACACGTACGTATATACATATATACATATATATTATTAACTGCTAAATTAATTTCCTAATTTGCTACTGGCTCGGACTTTAGCTTGCCGTTTGAAAATCTTTAGCTGAGAAAATCTTAAGGTTCAGTAAATGACATTAAATATATACATACTTTGGCTGTTTCAGAACCCAGCAATGTCCGCTGTGGAGACCTTGAAGAATGATCAGAAGAATGCTGGAGGAAGAAAGAAAAGAAAAGGTAGGCCTGAGATGCAGCATACGACACACGGAGCAAGAGAAGCGAAGCCAACATCTGCGCAGCACGCTCTAGTCTAGGGCATTACCATAGACAAGGAATCCTGCAAGACCTTATCAATGGTAGCACAGAGCTCTTCGGTTCGCCGCCTGAGCTGTGCAGGGAAACACAACTGGAAGAATCAAAACCAGGCAGAGAGTTAACACCGAGTTTCTGGTTACAAACCCAAAGCAGGCGGCAGAAGTCATTACCTCCAGGGGTAGGTCTGTGGAGCTGTCCCTGGAGACACTCTCAGCCTGGGCTGGTTCATCTAGTGCCTAGTGACAAACAAAACAGTCCTTGTAAGAGACTTCAGTCAAGTAAAAACTCTTTTCAAAGTTGGCCCCGTATTTCTCAGAATTTCTAAGGCAAACAAAAAAAAAAAAAAAAAAAAATAGGCTCCTTTGATGAGCTATTTTCTAACACCGAGTCGTTTTCCTTATTTGTCCAGAGTCTCCTGTGAAGTTAGTATTTCTAATAGATGCTGTTGCAATAAAGAAAAGAGATGGGTTTTGTTCCACTTTTGCCCTCCTCAATCCCCAGCCCTGGCTCCTCCTCAGTGCAGGCAGAAGTGAGGCGCAGCTCCTGGTGTGAGGCAGTTCGGAATGGACGCCTCGTCCCCGCACTCCTTGCCATCTAACAGGAGGCGGGGCCTAAGAGCTAAGATGACAGAGTCACTGCCGCAGGTGGCCAAGTGGGACAGACAACGCAGGTTCAGGCAAGGGAGGACACAGAAGAAGACAGTAACGACAGTGGTAACTCACCGGAATGGCTGCCTTTGGTAGCTAGTGTTGCTTGTTTGCACTCACTACATCAAATGGGCTGTATCTGCTTAAGAAATTAGCCTTGGAACTTTTCTTCTTCTATGAAGGTAATATAAAATTTTGTGATACCTCATATAATAAGAATCTCAGAATTACACGGCTCAGGAAGGGGAGATAGCTCGTGGTCTAAGCCCTGCCTAGCAAGCACAAAGACCCAGGTTCGATCCCCAGTACCACATACCGTGCTGGCCCCAGAGCCCCAGGTACACCAATCTGGCCACTGTAACCAGGCGTGGTGTAATCCCAGTGCTGGGGAAGCTGAGACAGGAGGATCAGTAGGACTCTGAGCTGCACAGCGAGACAGTGTACCCAATAAATAAATGGATTTTTTAAAAATTACACAGCTCAATTCACCCTCCAATTTATAGATTTTTAAAGAAAATTTAATGAAGTAATATTTAATATATATTCACACAGTGGCCATTTCCCATGCTCTGCTCTCCTTCCAAGTTTTCAGCTGACAGTACTTCCCTTCAGCCTGGCAAACTTCCTTTAACATTTTTTGCATTGTACATCTCTCCTTAGGAGTCCTGTATTCTTTTAGCTGAAGAATATTTTGTTTCTTCTTTTTTATTTTATTTTTTTCAATTTTCTTTTTTTATTTTTTAAAAAGAATTAAAAATAGTTTTTAAAAAAAGCATTGGAAATTATACAGAATTTCACTAAACAAAATGATAGAAATCAAGGGCTGGTGAGATAGTTCAGTGGACTAAGTGCTTGCTTAAGCAAGTGCAAGGACTGGGTTTCAATCCCTGGCACCATAGGCTGTGCTGCCCCCACCCCTGGGAGTGCTGAGCCAGCCACCGAGTCCAGATATGGTGGCGCACGCCTGTAATCCCAGCACTGTAGTGGCTAAAAACAGGAGGATCACTACAAGTCTGAGCTGCATACTGAGACCCTGTACCAAATACTTAAAAAAAAAAAAAAGATAGGACTCCAACAATGGCTGTCATATCGCCTATTGTTGTCTTCAAATTATTTGTTCAGATTATCAGATATAAGCACAAAAATTGGCCCAAGCATTGATCAAAAAATAAGCAAATAGAAGACAAAAAGAAAAAAGTTTAAGCATTAACATTTCCTTTCAGTAGGCCAGCAGAAATCAGTAGAACAAACATCCAAGCTATCCCGTGTACATACACATAGACTTCCCTTCCTCTGTTCTTTTCTCCTTTCCCTCAGTTGTTTCTTCCCTTCGAACAGATTCTTTCCATTTCACAACATCTATTGTACCTTTCAGAGTTTATTTACTTTTTCAAGTTCTTATACTAAGGAGACAATACAATGTTTACACATGTGGGTCTGATTTCTTTCACTTATGAGTATGGTCTTCAATTGCATCCATTTACCTATAAAAGCCTCCAGTTTATCTTTCTTAACACTGAGTAGTACTCCACTGTATAAAATACATCTTTTTTGTCCATTCCTCATTTGATGGGCACTTGGGTTGTTTCTGAGATTTAGCTATGACAGACAACACTGGTGTGGTATGATGTTTTCAGTTCTTCTAGAAAATTACCCAGAAAGAGAATAGCTGGGTTGAAAGGGACCTCTGATCCTAGTTTTCTGAGGAATCTCCACACTGATTTCCATTGTGATTGTACCAGTCTAAACTCCCACCAACACTGAAGTGTTCCTCTTTCCCTATAGCCCCCACCCCCCAGCATTTTTTTCTTTCTGGTGGCAGGAATTGAACTCAGAATCTTGGACTTGCTAGGCAGGTGCTTTATCACTGAGCTATATCATCAGCCCCTCTAGCCTTTGTTATTAGTTGATTTCTTGATGACAGCCTTTCTTTGTGGGATAAGATGGAATCTTGAGTGTTGCTTTAATTTCCATCTCTTGAATAATGACTTGAACATATTTATTTGCCATTTGTATTTCTTCACCTGAGGAGTGTGTGTTCACCTCAGTCCATTTTTGGACTCTGTCTTTGGAATTTGGGGGTCTTTTTTTAAACTCATTGTATGTTTTGAGGGATAGTTGGCTAAATATTTTTCCCAGTTTCTAGGTTTTCTTTTTCCTCTGTTGGTGATTTCTTTTAATGTGCAGAAACTTCAATAAGATGAGCTCCCAACTTGACTTCCAAGCCAGCGTCAGGAGGTCCTGTGAAGAGAGATGCAGGTGAGATAGCTGCTGCCTTGGCCACTGCGGGGCAACTCCCAGGATCTCTCCTATCTGTTGAATAACTATGGAAGAGTATACCAAAAGTAGAGAAAATTGGAGAAGGTACTTACGGAATTGTATATAAGGGTAGACACAAAACTACACGTCAAGTGGTAGCCATGAAGAAAATCAGACTAGAAAGTGAAGAGGAAGGGGTTCCTAGTACTGCAATTCAGGAAATTTCTCTATTAAAAGAACTTCAAGGGCTGGCCTGATATCTCAGTGGACCACAATGCCTGCAAAGCATAGCAAGCCAAGGTTCTGTTCCTGGCATGCTGAGCTGGCCCTGGCCCATGGCACGCTGAGAGGGTGACTGAGACTGGACATGGTGCATGCCTGTAATCCCAGAACTTGGGAGGCTGAAAACAGGAAAATCACTATGAGTGCAATCTACGTAGTACAATCCTGTAGATCTTGTCCTAAATACAGAAGAAAAAAAAACTTAAAAAAGAACTTTGCCATCCAAACATAATCAGTCTTCACAATGTGCTTATGCAGAATTCCAGGCTGTATTTCATTTTTTCATTACTTTCCATGGATCTCAAGAAATACTTGGATTCTATTCCTCCTGGGCAGTTCATGGATGCATCACTTATGATCTGTAACCAGATCCTTCAGGGTATTGTCCTGTCACTCCAAAAGAGTTCTTCACAGAGACTTGAAACTTCAAAATCTGTTGACTGATGACAAAGGAACGATTAAACTGGCTGCTTTGGGCCTTCCGGGATGCCTATCAGAGTACATATTCATGAGGCAGTGGCACTCCGCTATAGAGCTCTAGAAGGCTGCTGGGGTCCACTCGTTACTCCACTCCAGTGGAGATGGGGAGGACGGACACGATTTCTGCAGAATTGGCAACTAAGAAACCACTTAATCCCCACTTCTGGGGATTCAGAAATTGATCAGTTCTCCAGGACTTGCAGAGCTTCGGGCACTCCAAACAATGAAGTGTGGCCAAAGGTGGAGTCTTTACAGGACTGTAAGAATACATTTCCCAAGTGGAAACTCGGAAGCCTGGCAGCCCAGGTCAAAAACTTGAATGAAAATGGCTTGGATTTATTCTCAAAAATGTTAGTCTATGATCCTGATAAATGGATTTCTGGCAAAACGGCACTGAGTTATCTATATTTTTATTATTTGGACAGTCAGATTAAGAAGACGTAGGTTTCCACATGTTATAATCTAAGTTGAATCATTTTACTTTTACTGTTGATTCTGTTTCTTTTACATTTTTCTTTGCTATAAAACTGAAACTGTACTTCACTTTACATTTCAAAAGTGTAACTTCGAAATGTAAATATTGTTCTATCTAAATTTAAATATAATTCTATATATGTGTGTAAAAAAAAAAAAAACCAGTAAGATGAGCTTCCACCTGATTCCTGGAAGCAGTTCCCACGCAGTTTGGGCTTCGGTCATGAATCTGTACCTATCCCTATGTCTTTAAGATTTCTACCTACTTTCCCCTCCGTAAAATTTAATGTTTCTGATTCAATCTTTAAATCTTTGATCTATTTTGACTGTAGTTTAGTGCATGGTGATAGAAATGGGCTTAGTTTTAGTCTTCAGCATATGGAAAGCCAGTTTTTCCAGAACCATTTATTAAAAAGTCTTTCTTACAGTGTTTGGCTCTTTTACCAAAGATAAGGTCACTGAGTATGTTTACAGTTGCGTCTGCATCTTCTAATCTGCTCCACTGATCCTAGTGTTTGTTTTTTTGCCAGTACCATGCTGATTTTATCACCATAGCTTTGTAGTATAATTCCAAGTCAGGGATTGTGATGCCTCCCGCCTTGCCTTTTACCCAGGATCGCTTTTGCTATTCTAGGTCGCTTCTCATTCCAGATGAATTTTAGAAAAGTTTCTCTGGATCTGTCAGGTATAGTAATGGTATTTTAATCAGGATTGTATTAAATTTGTATAAAAATTTTGGGAATATGGCCATTTTCACAATGTTGGCTCTTCCTATCCAGGTGCAAGGAATATCTTTCCATTTTCTGAAATGTTCTTTGATCTCTTTTTTCATAGTACTGTAATTTTCAGTGTACAGATCTTTTACTACCTTTGTCAGATTGATTACTAAGTATTTCGTTTTTTCATCATTATTGTGAAAGGTGTGATTTCCCTAATTTCTCTCTTCATGTGTTTGTGTACAGTAATGCTACTGATTTTTGAGTGTTGTACTTTCTATCCAGTTACAATAATGAATTTGGTTATTAAGTCTACAAGTCTTTTGATACAGTTTTGGGGGTTTTCTATGTACAGAATCATGTCATCTGCAGATAATG